AACACAAAGAAACTGGCCTTAGTTAGCGGCCAAAAACATGAAATAGTGTCAATAACACAAAGAAACTGACCTTAGTCATCATAGTAAGTAGTGTTTTCAGATCCATTTCCATAGGCTCCACCACAACCACCACCATAATCACCACCAGATCTGATTAAGTGTCAATATAAACCTCCATAAGCCAAAATATACTACACCCCATTGGATTTGGTGGTACATTGGTACATGATAAAATGGCATACAAAGTTATTATATGAATATTACAAATATGAATGAAGGAAATGTATATTTCAACTTTAACAAATATGAAAAATGGTTCTAATATAGTTGCTCCTGCACCTCACCCCCAAACTCAGCCAGGCAGTGTTTTCCATTATCAGTACCAGTAGTGAAGCAGTGTAACCCTGAAATCAGGCCGGAAACTTCCATGAGGCCACCACCCATTGAGCTGCCCATTTCCCTCAAGAATGCTTGTACATATGCTTGACAAACAAACGTATCATGGAGGGTGGAGTTGTTTTAAATGAAGAACTTAAGTCTTAAAAGAAGAATCATTTGTACCAATAACAATGGAAACTAACAGATACGAGACTCCAAACGCAGCTCTAATAGATATAACTTGGAACACTCAGTAGGGTCTTCCATCTTCTGTATAGCCACTACCAAAAAATTAGGGCCTTTCATCTTCTTCCTAAAATGAAGCGAATGAAACTAAAAATGAATGAACAAAAGGATCTTATATTCAAATGCAAAAAATGAAGGAATCAAAGCAATTAATCATCACATTACACCTAAGCAATTAACTATCACTGTAATTAAATTCATGGAAAACAGAATGAACAAGTACATAAACGGAATTACTGCTCAATATCATAAGAATTCATCGGAGAGAAAAATAGATCACAGGTTATTCATTGTAAAAAACTAATACATATCAAAATTGAGTATGCCTTCTAAGAAGATGGACACTTCAATTTACAAAATAAGAAAATGAAAGATGTCAAAGACTCAACTTCACAAAACGAAAATATAAAAGGAAAATCAGAAAATAAACGACTTCTTCTCCATTCATATGCCTAATGAACAAAAGTGAAGTTCTAAAAACGAAATAGTGGAAACAAAAAGAGATTGAAAATACCAGTTGAAAGACTTCATGGGTTGGATGAGGTCAACGAGATTGGCATAACCTTTGATAAGATGATCGATTTGTTCTTGATAGATCCCATCAAGTCTGCAATAAAGAGAATAGATTAGTTAGTACTGATACTTAAAACGACTCAGTATACAAGTATACAATATACAAGATTAGTTAGTTCATACCTTTGACAATGACATCATCACATTTAGGATTACAATATACAAGTCTGACTTCAAAATAAGGAAAAATTATAATTTCAATTTAGGAATTGGGATCTAACATTCAACATTCAGTTTGGGGGAGAAGTAATTTCAGGTATAAGCGAAAGGAAAATGGTGAAAATTGGAATTGGTGAATGCCTCTATGAATTTCAGATTAGGTTTACAAAATTCAGGTTGTGGTTTGTGAATGAAGAGCTGAGGCTAATCCTAGGAGAGGTGGCATGGAGCTGTACCGTGAAGGGTTGGAGGCGTTGTGCCGGTGCCGCCATGAAACTGTGAGCCTGGAGGCGTTGTGCCGGTGCTGATGGAAATCCTGGGAACTGCATCGCTATGAATCCGCGACAGAGGCACGGAGCAACGGCCGGCAGTGAGCCGGCGGCGTTGCATCGACTCGAACATGGGAGGAGAAGCGAGCGGCCAGAGGTTAGCGTTGATCTATTTGGGACGAAGGTAGTCTCGTTAAGAGTACTTAGCTAGTTTTAAGTTAGGTTTGTCGGGATATTTTTAGCATCGGCCAGATATAAGTGCCCTGTGCCCGTGAAGAGTAGGAGCGCTTTTAGTACAAGTGCTTCTGATCGGAAAAAAGCATACAAGGAACAGACAATTTTTCGTTCAAAAAAGAAGGAACAGACACTTTTCGTAAATACGCCGTTACACATGCGCCTCAAAAGATCGATTTCCTAGTGGTGCGGGAAGGTAGTCAAATGAGTTTTTGAAGATAACTGTGAAGTTAAACAACGCCGTACATTTCGGAAAATTATTTGACTACCTTCCCGGTTGAATTTTTAGCTGAAATTTGGTATGGGTAAACTAGACTTAATGAGGAAGATGCTCAAAAAATTTCATCAAAAAATTCCATCGGGAACCGCCCCAAATGGCGTCGGCCAGACAGAGCATCCGAAATATGACCTTATTTGACATTTTTTTTCGAGTTCGAGGCCCTATCTGACCCTTATCCCTATATAAAAATAAACGTGGTAGGACGACGTAGGAGTATATGAATTATTTAGGAAAAAAAAAATAGAAGAATAATAGTCCGTATATGCTAAACGAATGGAGTGTATAAATTATTTAGAGCTCGTTTGGTAATATCCAAATTGACTGTATTGACTGACTCTGTCGAAATTTATGATGTTCTGGCAGAAATGACTTTATGAGTTGATTCTGCTTATTTGTGAAAGAATATTTAAAATATATTCTAATTAATAAATAAAGAAAAAATTACATGAAAAAGCTAAAATAGTCCTCTATAGTAAGTTCAGTCAATACAGTCAGGAAAGTAACTCAAACCTTACTTTTTCTTATGATTACACAATTCAGTGCGCGAAACCAAAATTATGTATTTGATGAAAAGTTAGTTGATAAGCCTGAAAACCAAAATCAATATTTACCAAACGGGCTCTTACTTGGCAATATCACTCGTTACTGGTTAGGTCATATTTTATCATCCATTTTCACAATAAATCGAATAAAATTAATACGCATACGTAATTAATAGGAGGAATGTTTTTAATTAAATGATAGTTTCTACCTTTCTGGGTATGGTCTGACTTGATCTGATCTTGTTGAGGTTCATTTTGTGTGTTATAACTGTTGAAATTTGGTTTGGTCTGAATTGGTTGGTCTAATCTGTTTAAGTTTGATCTGATTTGATCTTGTCCGGTCTAATATATTTCAGTTTTCTAGTTTGATCTGCTTCGGACTAAGAACGAATCCAATTCATTCAAAACATCGTATAAAATTATAAATGGTCTAGAGATAAGCTCGACCAAAATATATATCAAATTCCCGATCTAATCTAGCTATTTAAGTCTTGTATAACTAATTTGAGAAGTGCATGTTATATGCATGTGAATTTCACTACTATATAAATCGTAGGTGTTTGACTAAGGGCGTGTTTGGATCTGATTCTTAAAGTGCTTCAAAGAACAGAAGCAGAAAATGGAATGTTTGGGTAGAAGTGCAAAAGTACTTCTGGGGCCCAAATTTACTTGTAGAATCAGTTTTTTTAGAAGCTGAGGGAGACTAACTTCTGAAATCTGATTCTGATTCTGCTTCTGTTTTAAAAAAGAAGCAGAATCAGTTCCAAACACCACTAAGGGAGTGTTTGCCGTTGCTTGTGCTTCTTAGAAGTGATTTTTTTAAGAGATTATTGAAAAAGTGATTTGTAGTAAAAGTTGGTAGTGTTTGAGAATAAAAGTGATTTTAATTTAGAGGTAAAAGTTGGAGTGTTTGATAAAAAAGTGATATTTGATGTATTATATTATGAATATACAAAAGTACCCTTATTCAATTTAATAGTAATAATTCCAAAATGGCGTACGGATCGGACTTTGTTTCAGACCAACAATGGAGAGAGGAGGCACTGTGCGACGGACGGCGGTTCGACCACCAACGGCGGTTCTCGACCGGTTTTTTCTTGTTGGGGGTTGTACGAGGAGGAGGGGAGTCTACTGTTGCGTCGGGGCCTGCCGTAGAAGAGCTCGTTTCTCTGGTCCTTCTTCTGCGCTCAATTTCTTCTTCTACTCTTCTATTTCTCCTCCTTGATTCATTAGCAGATGCTTGGTTAGATCCCCAACCCTTTAGCAACGTAACTACCTGGATGGAGAATCCGATGGAGAAATGGAAACCCGGAGAAGAAAGATGGATCTAGACGTTGATGTGCAGGAGGGTAATTTAGGATATTAACCTTAAGTTTATGGATAAACTTTATCCTCAATGTTTGAAATATTTACCAAATACCCTAGAAGTAGATAAAAGCATCACCCAGGCTGCTTCTAACTTTTGACTTAAATGTGCTTAAATTAAGCTGAAATTTTCATTTGCAAACACACATTTTAGCTTATTCTAGTAAAAAAGTTGATAAGTGCTTTATAGTAGTGTTAGCAAACACTCCCTAAGTATGAGATTGAAATCGTTTCACTTTAATATTCTAGATACTCCCTAAGCTCAATTTCTAAGTTAACGGAAAACGATTTCCCATTTCCCAAGAGGAAAAACCATCAAATTAATGGAGAATTTGGACTCACTTTTCGAATAGTACGTACTACGTACTATTTATATACTCTATAGCTCAAGAATGATCAAGTCCAAAGATTCGCACAGGAGCCTCTCTCTAAACATTCTCGTTCAGGATCCTTCCCAGTGGAATTTTTTTATGATTTTTTTTGAGCACGTTCCTCATCAAAATTCGTCTTTGCCGCAGTCAACTTCAAAAAATGATTTGAATGCCTTCTCGATCTAATTTTGAGCTGAAATTTGGTATGGACAAACTAGACTTGATGAGGAACATGCTAAAAAAATTCATCAAAAAATTCCATCAGGAAGTGTCCCAAACGTCCGTGTTCGGACGGTGCTCGGACGGGGAATGTTCGGACCTGATACGCCACACGTACTCAGCAGCTCTTAGTCTCTATATTACACTAGCATTGTACTATGTACAAACAGAACAACATACGAAGTATATATGTATAATACGACTCCTTATAATTTTCTTTGCATTTCTTAATTACTTCGTATTTGAATCTCTTGTTCGTTTTTGTTTGATTTAATAGTACGTAGATGATCGAGAAGCATCAAACACACATGAACGTAATTAAAGGATAATTTCAAACAAGACTAGGACATGTATAAGCGTACATATATACTCCGTATATGCCTTCAATACGAGAACCACGTCCACAAATGACACAATTCCCGGCATTGATAATGAACAAAACAAAACTTATTACCGTACCCACCAAAACGATATATGAAAAACCTGATTTTCTTTGCACAACTCAAACATACCCAAAATAAGTTGCATATGATCAAAAGATTCACTTTGTGTATGATCATTCCGATCCATCCATGCATAAAACCCTTGCACTGCCCCTCCACATATCGCCCCAACACCATAGATAATGAGAATGAAAGCATCCACTTCTTCCATAACTAACAGCATAAACCGTCCATAAGATGCCACTCAAGAAAACAATAAACGAGCGAAAAGGCGTCACCACAATTTTCCTTCTACAAACCATACCCAACGGTTCTCCAATGTCCACTAAAACAACACAAACTCCCACAAAAAAGGCTCTTTGTGTACGGTTTTGATACCCAAAGTCATAAACAATGCCATACCCATAAACCCTAGTTCTCCCAAAAGAAAAAACCTGACTTTCTTCCTTCTTGATCTCCTGCCTTGATGGGCATAATTGAACAAGACTGGTAAGCATATGAGTTGATACAAGAAATCAACAACGTTGAGGAGGAGAAAGGGTTTACTCGGTTTATTGTGTAGCGTAACAATGGGGTGGGCGTAAAGAGTCCACAAGAAACAACTCAAGACCTTCCTCATCAATATTAGACTTTTGGAGCTCCTCACTCTTTGGTATGGATACACGGTCTTTAAACAGTAAAACACCGTCATCACGTACCCGAAAGTTCTCAACGGGCCCCTCAAGGACCCGTTCACGAATCTTCTGACATTCCTCATCAACGGCCTGACATCTAGCAATGAGGGTCTCGCACGTTGATGTGTGTTTTCTCGCACTTAAAAAAATTGTAATATAGTGGTGTAAGTACGAGTATCGTCTCCACAGGGGCGGACAAAGGGGAATTAAGAATTAACTAAATTCAACGATTAAAAATAAATAAAATAAATGCGTCGTGCGAGATTGATTGGTGAATTAAAATTAAATTGATGTGAATGAACAATTAAAATAAAAGATTGGTTTCTTCTTAATTAACGACGAAGGGAACAAGAATTGATTTCGGGGTTAACCAGATTTCTGGCAGAACAGGCCTAATTACATGAATTTAATTTAATTGAGCCTAGCTAATCATTACTAAGTTCTTACCACTCTCGCGGCGTAGAGTACAATAATTTAGGGGACCAGGCTGATCTCTCATGCGACAAGATCCTAAATTATTGTCAAAACGAGAGAGCTTACGACCCCTTAATCGCTACTAATCTCTTAGGATGTTTTTACTTGGACTGTAATTTGTTGGTCTGGTCTGGTCTGGTCTGATCTGGTCTGGTCTGGTCTGGTAAGGTCTGGTTTCTTTGTATTTTTATAACTATCCAAGTCTGGTCTGGTCTGGTCTGAACTGATCTGGTCTGGTCTGGTCTGGGGAAAATTACAGTCCAAGTAAAAACATCCTTAGCGAACGATTAAGTGTGTGTGAAGGTGTCCTAAAATAAACTAGATCTCTATTAATTTATTCTACAAGCAATTGTAATTCTAGCGCGCGTTCTAGGTTACAAGAGATATCAGTTAAATTATTCAAACACAAATTAAATGGCATTCATGCAATTAATCCATCAAGAAACTAGCCATACATCATGATCAACCCCTTCATCAATCCCAATCCCTAATTAAACTACTCACAATTCATAATTGAAGAATCAATAGAATTGGGAAGAATAGAATTAATTGTCATTAATTAAAAACATGGAACTTACAAAGAATACCAAAAGATTGATGAACAAGGCTGAAAACCCCTCTAAAATTCGTGCTAGGCACTCTCTCTAAGCCCCCCCTCAAAACGGGGGTTTACAGGCTGTTTAAATATGAAAAAACCGAGCAATTCCGGTGAAATTAGGATTCCAAGGCCAACGCACGGCGTGCGTCTGGAGCAAAGCCGCGTAAAAATATGGAATGCACGGAGTGCGTCCCCCCACGCACGGTCGTGCGTTGCTGGCAGTATCTTCCTTGCTTTCTCGCCTCAGACGCACGGTCATGCGTTCCCCTACGCACGGCGTGCGTAAAACTTCCCAATTGGACAAAACTTCCCTGATGAAAGTTGTAGATAATGAAGTCCTCTATCCACCCCAATTCGCCGAATGTGATTTGAATCATCCAATCAAGGGATATGATCAAAACGGTGGAAGGTATCATTCTGAAATCGCAGCAGATATTATCTGACTTCATCGTCTGTTTTTCCTTTGTTCTCTCAGATTCTCGCAAAGGTGTCTTCATATCATTTGTAGCCCTTGACGTTAGCTTTCATATGGAACTTGAATCGTGTCCATTGGTTGTTTCTACAAAGAGATATGCTTGAACGATTGACAGAAGGTCATCTTGATCGCCGTTTTCAAGCTTCGTTCATCTTCTTTTGATCCCGAAGACAATCCTAGAGCTCTTTTGTCATCAAATCTTCACCGTGAACCTCCCGGTGACCTCCAAAGCTCTCAAATCACTCTCGAATGCTTATCAACTCATTCTGATTTCTTCTCAAGCGCCGGTGCCGAACTTTAAAATCCTGATATTGACCCCAAATGACACAAAACTCGATGCATGTAGACATGTCCACGTGGACATCTCCATGAGAAACTTCCCAGGGGGTCACCCATCCCAAGACTACTCCCGTGCAAGCACGCTTAACTTTAAAGTTCTTGGCTAATGAGCTCCCTTAAATGGAGATGCACCTTGTTGGTATGAGTAGTACTATTAATCCGTTTATATTAAATCTCAAGTGTTACACGGATACTTACACACGACACGTACATCATTGATGTCAACTTCTTTCTTTGTGTCGTCTATCACATAAGCAAGGTATGCGTGACATCCCTTCGTCATCATCTTTCGTTCCCTCATCATGGATATGATACAACTATGCTATCCTCCCTGATCTCCCTCGAAACGTAGAACGTTTCCCTCAGCATCCTCGAGTTCCAAAACCTTGGCATAACAATCCACTCGAGCATGATGCTTCTCGACCCAATCCATCCCCAGGATTGCATCGAATTCTAACATACTTAAAGGTACGAAGTCACAAGTCAAAGGTTGACCCATTACTTCTACCTCACACGAAGGGTAGTAGTGTTTCCTCTCCACATCGTCTCCCAACGGTGTAAAGACCAACAAGGGTTGCATCATCACTATCAATGGTACGTCTAAACCTTCGGCCAACATTTCACTCACAAATGAACGTTGTGCAGTGCCCCGGTATCAATGAGAATTCTCGCGTTTCTACCATTGATCTTTAGCATTCCTACAAATGTAAGTCATGTAAGACACACTACCCAACGTACCGTACGAAAATAGGGTTAAACGAAATTTTTTTGGCCAAAAAAAACACTGGACCGGTGACGGGTATGGGCCTGGCCGGCGCTGGTTAAGCTAATGGAACCGAAAATATAACAAATTTCAACTAGAGCGGCGCCGGTTCAGGCCTAGACTGGCGCCGGTTTGCCCCTGGAATGAAACGACGGGAATTTTTCCCAAGACCGGTGCCGGTTCGCCTCCTGTCCGGCACCAGTTAAGCTACTGCCATCCCCAAACACTCCCATTTTACACTAGACCGGCGCCGGTTTGCCCCCTGGCCGGCGCCGGTTAAGCTACTGCCAGCCCGTTTCAATGCCATTTTACACAAGACTGGAGCCGGTTCGAGCCCTGACTGGTGCCGGTTCGTCCCTCGACAATTTTAACTTTGTTTTTCGCTCGAAAACGAGCCGAAAATATCATCGGTTGACCCGTACATGTTCCCTACAGCTTACAATACATATGTTTATAAAAATACAAGCGTGGGCAAAGAATTACCTGCCACGGAGTCGAGATTTGCCCAAGCATCGGCCTCGATCATCGCATAGACTCTAGCTTGAGTCCTTCCCTGATTTACGGAAGGCGCGTTGCTCGTGCTCGCTCCCCTTTGCCCGGTACTAGCATGAGGGGCTCCAGTTCGGTTCCTACTCGCCGTGGTAGTGCCACTTGGTCCCGACCCCCGGTTCCCACCAAGTTGAGGGCATTTTGGCTTAATATGCTCTGTACTCCCGCATTGGTAGCACTGTGGAGGATCACAGCACTTACATGTGTGGTTCCTGTTACAGTTCCTGCACCTAGCCGTTGGGACTTGTGAGCCCGAGTTTTGTCCACTCGTGGCCGGGTTTCCCCTAGATGGCGGTGCCAGTGTTCTGAATGACCCTCCTCCCCCATGATTCCCTTTCTTATTAGAACCTTGGGGGTCATGGTTCTCCCATTTTCTTTTCTTCGCCTCCTCAGCGTCCCTCTTCTTCCTCTCCTCCCATTGCTTCTCTCCCTTCAACCCCTGGCCAATCACTTGGCTGAAAGTCATGTTGGGCAATTGAGTTGCCCTATCACGTATCTCCAGGTCCAAGGCCTCCCAAAAGTGATTCACCATTTGGTTCTCATCACAAGCATACTCCGGTATGTGGTCAGCAAGGCCCCTGAACTTGTGCTCAAGTTCTTTCACCGTCATGTTACCACCTTGGGTTAGAAGGGTATATTTCATCACCTTTGCATTTACCTCGAAATCAGGGTAGTACTGGGCAAAAAATTCCTGCCAAAAATTCTCCCAAGTGACAGTTCCGCCAGACTTGCCCTTGGTCCCATCCCACCACTTGGATGTCAACCCTTCAAGTAATCTCACCACAATTCTCAGTTTAAAATCGGGGGTGAGTTGCATGTCAAGGGTTGCCTCATTCAGCCTCTTGATCCATTGTGCGGCAATCGAGATGTCTCCCGTCCCATCAAACGGTTTGCACCCCAGGTCCCCCGCCTCTTTGATGTATTTGGAGATCCTTATGGCTGGACCTCCATCACCTCGACTTCCATGGGCCTCCACATGGGCTCTTGAATCACAATAGCTTCTTCCTTTTGAAGCCCCGCCCAAAGGTTGCCCCGCATGGCGCCTTTTGTGTTCCCTCCTTTCCTCGCGCTCCCGATGATATTGTTGGAGCAGCACCTCAATTCTAGCCAAGGAGCCATTTTCCTCCTCGTCACTCACGTCATCATCATCATCATCATCATCATCATCATCCCCTTCATAAGGGGTCTCAACCGGCTTGGTTTCCGGTTGATAGGTCGAGTCCTCGTAGGACCAATAGGTCTCACTCTCAGTGTCTATGTGGCCATCATTCACGGTGTGCCGTTGGCCTCCATGACCCCTTCCCCTTGATCCCCTAGCGGACCCCCGGCTACCGCGTTCGGACCCACCAGTGCACGGCCCACCGGGTTCCTTCTAGTGATCCTTCTAACTGGTTCCATTTCTGAAAGAAATTTAGAATGAGCCATTAGACTCGTATCAACTGTCAATTAACGGATAGGCACTTAACGACATCTTTTGGCTCAAATCACCGTCATACCAATTGTTAAGGGTACCATCTTAACAATTAGAGACCTTGCAACTCAAGTACCAAAAGTTCTATATGTACAAAACTTTTTATGCTCATGGTTTTCAAATTCGTTTTCAAAAAGAAATTTTGAAGCTTCATTATGAATTTTACGGACTAGGGTCTCTAATACCATTTAAATTGTCACACCCCGGACCTACCGGACACGTCAACAACCCGCCGTACAACACGAATAGTCAACTGCAGTCCAACACATTCATACTATACAAGGAATCTGGAATATCATTCACACGTAGTACATCCATAAACAAGCATAATGTAAATCATTATTTAAAGAAGTGGAGACAATATTACAAGTGTTCAAGCCACACTTGGCAAACATGGGCATCAAGCCCTCAAATAGTTATTCAAAAAAATAATATCCATGAGCATTGAATGTAGTTGTTTTTAAAATAGAAACGGAGGAAGCACGAACCACATCTTCTCTCCTTGAATCTTTTCACAACAACGAGAATGTTAACAACCTTCAAGTTCTACCTGAACCTATGAGGTGGCCTCCCCCGTGAAGGGGAGGTCAGTACTTTGAAGCATTTGAAAAGTACAATGACAACTATACTAATTATAATCAATGTTTCTACTTCTAAGACCCTCAATCTAGGGTGTTAATATTATATTATAGTTAACCCATGTTCTTTCATGCTAGAGATTGGCTCATAGTCATACTACATAAAGCTAGAGTTCGGCTCATAGTCATACTACATAAAGCTAGAGCTCGGCTCATAGTCATACCTCATAAAGCTAGAGCTCGGCTCATAGTCATCCTACGTAAAGGTAGGACTCAGCTCATAGTCATCCTGCATAAATCTAGAGCTCCGCTCATAGTCATACTAAATAAAGCTAGAGCTCGGCTCATAGTCATACTACATAAAGCTAGAACTCGATTCATAGTCATATTACATTTTGCTAGAGTTCAGCTCATAGTCATACTATTACGTGCTCGAGCCCCGCTCATAGTCACGTTATCTAATCTCTAAGTAATCTCTTAGTCTAAACCCCATTCATTTTGAGTAACCCTTAAGGCCTACTCCTAATGTAACTTGGAGTTCATAAAGTCCATCTTTAAAATATCCCTTAAGGTCCCTTAGGGCGTACTCACCACAATTTAATATTTTAGGATTAGTTCTAACGATAATTCGAACTATCCCTCCGACTAGTATTTCAATACTAGTCGTTTGATCTAGTACAACCAAGTTCTAAATTCATAGTAGTTTGTTTATTTCAACTAAAATTCTTCATCCATGTATAATTTGGCTTTAATATCAAAACATCACTTTTATCCTTTCATGACTTCTTTACATGGGGTAAAAGTATATTTATCACAATAGGGTTCATGGTCAATACAACTATCATACCATCATTTTCATCACACATAACTATACACAATTTATTCATAAATTTGTATATTATGCATTTTTTTTTACTTATAATCAATAATAATTTCATTTAGGCATTATTAATCATTAATAATCCATTCGAAATACATTTAATTCATTTAGGTAATCTTACGAAATTAAACCAATAATTATAAGCAATATAGTCGGTCATCCTCACCTCAAATTAGCGCTATGAAGTTCTACCCCCTCTTGGTTGAACTCCGGCGAAACTCCGGCGACAACTCTGGCGACTCTTTCAACTCCGTGAAAGTTCTTGAAATACTTATACAAGTGTATAACAAGGTTTTATAATCATAAAACTCATACTAATATGAATAACCTCTAAAAGGTTATTTTCCGGCGAAGCGGTCATTTTGACTTCTAAGTCCGTTCTTGGACCTCGAACCCCCCTCTAATCCATTATTCCACACTCATAACATGTAGAATAATCCTAAGGGTTCTTCATATGATATACATTTCATATGGTAGGGGAAAAATAAAAGAAAAGTTATGATAAGGTCATTACCTTATTTTTTCCACACTTTTATCACCTTAATTCCTTTTTTTGAGATTCTTCCTTGTTCAGATCTCTTCAACAATGGAAAAGGGAGGCTGGAGAGTTCCTTACTCTTGCTGGGTGTGGGTTGGCCGAAAATGATTAAGGAAAAGGGGTGAGTGTTTCTTTTTGTCTCAATAGCATGAGTGGAGTGGGGGAGGGTCCACCTTATCTGTTTGATGCCTTTAATTTCCCTTCATTTCACACTCCCCTCCCATACACTTCTATCACACCAGCTGGCCAACCCCCTTAATTGAGTGGCTAAATTCGTGGGTTTGCCCCCACCCATGTGGGAGGTCAACCCTTTTTGTCTAGAAGTGTACAATCGGTCCCGAAAGTTGAAATTTTCAGACTGTTTTAAATATATTTTATTTTATCGGGTCAAATAAAATATATTATGTGTTCTCAATCATTAAGACCCTTATAATGAATATACACTCCCCAACTTTAATTTATAAGCCTCCGAAATTCATTTCAGGCTGTTATCTGTGAAATTACCAAAACAGGTAATTGAGCCACTTTTGACGAATCGGTCCACATATGTCCTTTCCTTGGCCCAAATAAATTATCCACCACTATATAAATTTCTATCCCCAAATAATAGAAATTTACAACTTCGTAAATTCATTATTCATTTCATAAGGTTCAATACATTATTTATTTAAGTAAATATATATTTGGGGATGGTGTTACAGACCGGAGCTATAACCGTGGATGATGCCGGCACAGCCGAGATGATCGGCGCTGCTATGGTGCTTGTGGAAGCAGTAATAGCCGGCGCGACCAAGGTGAGCGGCGCTGCTGCGGCGGTGCGGGCAGAGGCGGTAGACGCCATTGGAACGAACGAACGAACGAGAGAAAAAATATATTAAAAATCTAGGGCTCTTGGTACTATGTGAGAATAATAAACAGGCTTAACCAGACTGGTAGCTTTGATTGTATATTTATAATAGAATCTACACTATTATTAATAATATGACAATTATAGAGAACTATTTTTAATTAACAATATTTTTATAAAAGGTCAAAACTTATATCTTTCACACAAATATAATGTCAAAATTGTTGTTCAACATTTATTACCATTGATCAATAAAAGGCGATTTGATCCTGCAAATATTACTCCGTATATTTTTACTAGCGTTTTGTCGCGCAAAGCGCGAGAGCTTTTGCCCAATGTCAATTTTTGTTTTGTTTTGTAAATAACAATTATATGTGAGATTATTAGAGTTTTTTTTAAAATGGTGTGCGAAATTGTTCTTAGCTTTTTGTAAATAATCGGATCAATTATATTTTTAGTCCACCAACTATTGTGTGGAAAATTGCCTATATTTTGTAAATGTAAGTCATTCTATGAATTGACTATATTTCTCATTTAAGTATATGAAATAGTTGAAATGACAATATATTTTTTTTGCCTAATTTAAGTTAACACATTAAATTAGGTGCATATTGAGCTGGTAAAAGTATAGGTGTTGGGGGATTTTCGAAGTTTTAAAAAAAAAATTCCGACTATGAATATTCTACAAGCTAAGAGTTGTATAATCTTTTTGGAAATTTTTTGTTGTACACGTCAAATTCATACATGTTTCATACACACTGTCTGTGAGAGTATTTTTCTGTTCGTGAATACACTGTTCACAAACAAAACATTTTTTGTCTGTAGACAATGTAACTTTTTTTTATAAATGAACTTACTGGTAACCCCATGATAGAATTCAATCTGAAATGTTAATGAATTTGTGGTAATTGCTTGATTTATAGCAAACGAATTAATATCATGCGTTTACAAAAAAGATAAGGTGTGGATTCATATATGTTCTCTAGACTCCAGTCTATCCTATCCGGATGTTGCGTTTGTGAAGACCTTTTTCAGCATCATGAAGTTTAGATTCAAGATTTTTTAATTTGCTTGAAACATGTTTTTCGTAAAATATATACTCCATGAGTCAAGTTGGTATCCTTCTAATAAATTTAAATTAGATACAAATAATACAACGGAAGAGGCTATACTGTTTTGAGTTTTGAAAATTGACTTTAACGGAATACTAACGTTCAGAAGGAGTAGTAAGGATAAAGAAGTCATATTAAAAGTGAGGTTCCATTTTCTTAAAGCAATGTACAACTTATCATGCACAAAGTATGTTGACACAAATTAAGGGTATCAACCCTTATTCACAATTATAATGTTGTTAGATGTAACTTGTTCGTGGGTATGTAGCGACGCCCATAAAAATTAATCAACACACTGAACTTGTTAATACGGAGTATATTATAATGTCACCGATCATTTGAAAAATGTTTTATACTCCGTATTGAACTAGAAGATGAAAGATAGATGACTTTGGGCTTTTGACATTTCTCAAAACATTCAAAATCTTTCCAGGCCGCCAGGCAACATGGTGAATGATGGTGTTATCCAACCCGCTCTTATGAAGAGATAATATGGCTATATCAGGTGGCCCATCTTGTGGATTGGACTGAGCCGCACACATCAATTGGGTCGAAAGTGGCCGAACAAAACCGTTTGAGAACGAGTTGACTAAATGGCTCATCACTTCAATGTGATCTTGATCCAATTTAGCCGATCCAATTTATTTGTCCAAAAAATAACCACATAATCCCGCCGTCCCACTATTATTGTCTCAATTCATATTCACTGATCAACACAAATCATTCTAAATATTTTACGTTGTATATCTTTTTATCAAATTTGATTATGATTTTTGCGACTTTGTAAAACTTTTAATGTACGGAGTAGTTTCTAAATATGTAAAAAACATCTAAAAATAATATTACAAACAGGGATCCGTTTGCTTTATTGTCGATCAAACATCGAACATGGACATATGTAGTATTAAGAGCCCGTTTGGTAGCACGAAAATCGGCTGATTTGGCTGATTCTGCTGAAATTTATGAAGTTCTGGCTGAAGTGGCTGCATTGGCTTCTGCTGATTTAAGAAAAAATTATGTTTAAAATAAATTTTATTAATAAAATAAAGAAAAAGTTATATGTAAAAATAGTTAAAATGGTCATCTACAGTAACTTCAGCCAAATACAGCCAGAGAAGTAACTACAACCTTACTTTTTCTGTTTATTATACAATTCGGTGCACGAAAGCAAAAATTATGTGTTTGGTAAAAAAATTGGCTGATAAGCCTGATAAGTCGGAAAACAATGGTTCCAAACGGCCTCTAAATTTCTATAAACCCACAAATAATGGGTAGAATCGCCAAAAATGCGACTAACTACCTTTAAAATTTAATCTATTTTATCTTTTTATAATTCTCCAACATCTAGCCAACTACCTCATTTCAGTCACAAGAAATTGCACTCGATCAATTGATTACGGACTCGTGTTCATTAGTTTTTAGCACCGCTTCGAAACAACTGCCAAATTGCTCCACTTCATGTGATTTCCACCAAGACTTTAACTTCCGTTGTACTCCGTACTTCCAAATTAAAACTGTACGTACTTGAAGGAGATAAAATATATATTGTGCGATTAGTCAATTGCGGGTTAGTCCGTTAGCTATAGGATAAAAATTTTTGGTTTTTCTGAATTTGGGATATTGGTTGAATGTTTTGTCAAACTTGTGGTAGTTATGTTTAATATTTACAATTACATAATGGTAGAAAAAACTTATTTTCACATCGAAATTTGAAAATATTGGCAATTTTATAGCAAATTTCACAAATATATTATGAATGGAAATCTCTTATTTTGTTTGACAAACAGCCAACTTTATAAACCACATTATCAAGGTTATGTTCGTTTTTTATTCAAGATGAAAATCATTTCATGTTTATATTGTGAACAAGGGATAAAGGTCAAATTGAACACTATAGTTATATTTGAATATCATATTAGACACTGAAGTTTCAATTGAATCAAATTGGACACTATGGTTTCATGGTATTTCATATTAGACACTAAAGTTTGGACACTAAGGTTTCAATTGAACCAAATTGGACACAATGAGATACACATATAACCATAGTGTTCAATTTGTATAATTTGAAACTTTAGCGTTCAATATGAGATTTTTATATAACCATAAAATTCAATTTGACTCTTATCCCCGGAAATAAAATATATTTTTATGCAGCAAGATGATAGTTACATTTTAGATGTTCAAAAGTGACGGCGATTGTGTACTGCTGCCATGAGTGCCTATGGAGGGGCCGTTTGTTTGTTGGCGGATGACAGCCAACCCGCTACAAAACGTAGCATTTTCTTTATAAAATAATTGGCGTTTTGGGGCAATCCGCGGGTTTCCAAACGGAGCCGATGACAACGGTTTTACTACGAGTGGCGGCGCCATTATAGTCATCTTGGAATCTAGGAATGCTTGTCTTTTATATCTTTAATTATAAATATATTAGAAATCCATTGATGGTAATTTTTAGTTTTATGCTAATTCTCTAGGAAATTAACTCAATATTCTATTATATTCAATATTTCAAGCACATGAATATTTGTATCGGACTTATATTAAGCAACAATAAGGTCTACTTACATGCCACAATCGAACGGCGCCCGTCAAATAGCAAAATAGGCAACATGGTTTTCGAGGAAACGGTCCAGCCCACTCCCCCGACATCCTCTGGAGTAAAAAAAATATTCAATATGGTTTTCCATCATCAAATTACTTGAATATAATTCTTGAATACTAGATTTTTTAATTGAACTAATCTCAATTTTAGATAATATTTAAATCAGTCACATCAAATTAGAATTTGATCTGAAGAAATTTAAACATACACAAAAATATCATTCCAATAAAAACGTCCATGTTAAAGATAATCATACTCAATCACGAATTCCTATAAATACAAGATGCGACCTCACGCCATGTCAACTAAACAGTGATTAAAGTGTGATTTAATAATTCTCAGATAATTATGTACTAAACTTGAGGGACCTAGAGGATGGAATAATTCTTGCTTTATTTTTGTGAGTAATTAAAAATCATGTAAAAGAGAGAGTATGGGCGGGGAGGATTCAAAACGGGGAATGCAAGAAAAGTCTATGCGTGTCCCTATATTATTCGATCTCTTCTTTGAAAGCCAAGCTTGGGAGTTAGCTCAACAAAACATGTGATGTTCCCCATAAATTCGGAATCGTATTTTTA